CACAAATTCGAATGTCACCGTTTGGATTTAAAATTGGTACCATAGGTGTTCCCCAATCAGAACTAACAACCTGCTCTAAAATTCCATCTTCTATGTGTTTTCGCAGTTGCGTTTAAATCTTTTCCTTCCATGGTAATGGTAATGATCTAGGCTTGAAAAAAATTGGGTTGCTTCTTCTTTCAACAATAACGATACCGTGTTCATGTTATATGAACCGAAATTCCGATCTAATCTGTTCTATAATTACAGAATTCTTTGTGTCTTCACTTATATTGTTTACTTGCATTAACTCAAAATTAAAAGCTCTCAGAAAAGTTATTCCAAGTAAAGGTGAAGTCACTGTATTCGTTACAACAACAACAATTTCCTTTTTTATACCTCGATATTCGATTGTTGCATCGTACTCACCAATTACTTTAATAGAATCTCCATTGTAATCTATATATGGAATTACGCATTTTCTAAGTGGTCTGTAGTTTTAAGACTTTCATAAAATGATTTTGCAACCAATGTGAAAGGTGCACCAGTGTCGCAAGCAATTTTCGTATGTGTTCCATCAATAATAAACTTCACCAGTTGAGGTTGTACCAACGCTATACACGGAAAAATCATATTTATCATTATCAAATTTATTTTTGGAATAGGAGTTAAAATTTGTTTGAGATACATAATTTACGGATTCCTTTGCTTTATTTTTACATATACTCGCCAAGTTACCTATTTTACCACAGCTGTGACATTTGCATGCCTTATACTTGTTGTTTGATACATGATTCCGCTAGCCACAATGTGTGCATGGCTGCTGCTTCTTTTCTCTGCCAGCGCCGCAGTAACCGTCGCCGTCACCTTCGCCTCTACCGCCTCTGGAACCAGCATTTCGGTTAACACAAATCGTTCGTTCAATCGTTCGTTCTCTTTCGTAGTGACCAGACGTGTTTTTGATTTGCGCTCCTCATTTTCCTTTTATTTTGATTAAAACGGCCGGTATTTCTATCTTTAAATCAACTCTCCTACTAACTAACATTAAAATCAATCATTACCGCGGGTGCATGCCTAATAATTGTGTAAAAACACAACTTATTTAATTAATTTTGTGCGTCGGTTAGTCGTGATCGTCGGGATCTCGGGCCGTGTAGGAGATGCCATTTCCCAAAATAACGGCCTGCATTATAGTGTTGAGGAATTCCGTGCTGTGGAAAACGACATGCGTTTGTTCATGAGGCAGACGCGGAGTGCCTTCAAAGAGCTGATCGCAGGCTTTAAACAGCAATATGATCAGCTCTTGGCCATGGACACTCAGTTCAGCAGTTTCCAGCTGCTGGCTGAGTCTCCGAGGCGCAAGAAGTCTACTTCGCGGGTTTTGTAAGTGTTGACTGCCACATATCCGCCGGCAGCCGAAAAACTTACTCCGACCATTCCCTTAGAGCAGCTGCTGGTGATGCAGATTCGGTAGCCGAATGCGTCACTTCGGAGAGTATGCAGTTAGACATGTCTGTAGCGTCCGTGTCTGTCGAGTCCGCACCCAACTCTTTAATTATACCATCAGTTTCGCTCCCACCAGCTAATAGATGTCTAGGACCACCGGATACTGGCATCACAGGTACTAGGCCTGTGCTCCAGTGATCTTTACCCTCATCTTCCACCTCAGCTTCTACCTATCCAAAAAACTAACTTCCTCTCTTTTAGTTACCTACCAGAATGCTAGAGGCCTGCGTAGTAAGTTCAGCACTCTTTTTCTTGAGAGTCTCTCATTCTCGTCCCATGTTATTGTGTTTACCGAGACCTTGTTCAAGCCGGCCATCCTCAGTTTCGAAGTTTTGGCAGGTCGGTACACAATTTTTAGAAATGACCGTTCGTCTCGACGTGGAGGTGGGGTCCTCATTGCAGTGGACTCAAACTTCACGTCGGAACATTTCATTTCAGGTTCAACAAGACCTGGAATTCCTGTGCGTAAAACTGACTCTACCAGGCTTTTCCATTTTCATTACTTGCTCGTATATTCCAGCTTCCTCGGATATCTTAATATACGAGCATCACCTGCCCGCTTTAAAAACTGTTTCTTCCTCGCTATCAGATAAAGACCATATGATAGTTCTTGGCGATTTCAATTTGCCAGGTACTGTTTGGTCTTCGGTAAACGAGTCTAATAGCCTTGTGCCCATGTGCCCATGACTTTATCGACGGCTTGCTAGACCTATCCCTGTCTCAAGTCAACCATGTGAAAAATTCCTTGAGTCGATTGCTTGATCTGTGCTTTGTCTTGGATCCGACCATAGCGTTGTTAACCCGAGCCCTTCCGCTCACTATACCTGAAGACTCCTACCATCATACATTCGAAGTGTCAGTCGATATTGGCCCTACTGTATTGGATCGAATGGGTAGGCTATCTAAACGTGTCCGCTGCATTCGTAAAGCCGAGTTTACGAAGCTTAGTAACCTCATTAGGGATTTTGATTGGGCCGCTCTGTACGTGTGCGTGTGCACTGACGGTTTGAAAGGCACAAACATTTTTATACCCGTACTCAAAAAAGAGTTAAGGGGTGCAACGCAGAGAAGGAAACGTTTCCGACCGCATAAAGTATATATATTACTGATCAGCATCAATAGCCGAGTCGATATAGCCATGCCTGTCTGTCCGTCCGTCCGTCTGTCCTTCTCGATGAACGCCTAGATCTCAGAGACTATAAGAGCTAGAGAAACCAAATTAGGTTTCCAGACTCATGTGATATCACACTGCTACAAGTGTATTTCAAAATTTCGCCCCGCCTCTTCCGCCCCCGCAAAGGACGAAAATCTGTGGCAGGCACAATTTTAAATATACGATAAAACTAAAAACGCAGTATCGTAGAGAATGAAAGATTGCCGAATCTGAATCAGATCGGATCATAATTATAGCCAGAATAAAGAAATTAATTTTCAGTTCCTTCCCCCGCCTCCTTCGGATAGACACCCGCTACTCATTCTCTTTCTCGCTAGCACACTCTGCCGCGTTCAGTGCGCGTACGCCCTGATGCAGATGTAGATGTAGAATTACATTTTAGATAACAGATCTAGCAAAAAAAAATGTAAAACTTATTTTTTAATCCTAAAATTTAAAAAAATCAAATCAAAAATTTATATGCTTGCTGAGTACGGGTACAAGTAGAGTCGCGTCACCAGAAGCGACTCGCACGTTCCTTCTCGTTTACAATGCCCTTGACACATTGTTTGATTCTAGTGTCCCCCTTTCTTGTCCGATTAGATCTGGGAAGCCTCCTTGGTTTACCGAAGAGTTATCCAGTCTAAAACACTTAAAATCAAGACTTTATAAAATATTTCAAGAAGAGGGACATTCTCTTTCTCGCTATGTAATAGCTCGGTCAAATTTCTCCGTTCTTAACGCTCAATTCTATAAAAATTACCTATCTCGATGCAGGATACGATTTTCACTGGACCCTAAACAGTTTTACAGCTTCGTAAATTGTAAGCGTAGAACGTCCGCACATCCATCCTCGCTGTCATTATTCAATATGTCAGCAAACAATGATCAGGCAATTGCCGATCTTTATACCAAATTTTTCCAAACAACCTATTCTTATGAAAGCTACTTTGGTCAGCCGTATGGTCAAATGGCATCTTCAGCCCCTTGTTAAATGAAAGCTGAAGCAGAGTCACGATCTTCGACTAGTTAAGCCGGTGTTTTCACCAGGTCCTGACGGAGTTCCCGGCTGTGTACTCAGGTACTGTGCAGACGCTCTGTGTGGACCCCTGTTTATACTATTTCCCTCTTTTCCCTCTATTTTAGCTCTTTGAGTTGTATTTAGCTCTAATTTTCCCTGAATTTTAGTCTAACACCTGTCTTTCCTGAAGGCTCGCGATCGGTTCGGTAACACGCGTCGCGCGTCATGCTGCTGCGCCCCTCGGTCGGTTGGGCGGGAGGAGGGGCTGCGTTTCTGCCTGGGTTCTGCGCGTAACAGGGTTCGGCTTGGTGTCGCATTGGCCACTTGATGGTGCAGTCATTGCATATCAACGTCCAGACAAAAAATGCTTCTAGATTGACTACACATTTACACTACAATGCCAATTGTTTGACTCGAGCATACCATTCCGCTACACTCTCATCTTCACTTTTAGTGGACACGTGAAATTTTGTTCTCTCTCTAAATATGAGTGTAGGTGGTGTGTCTTTAAAATTTCACATTATTTGGACAGCTTTGGACACAGGGGATTCCGGACTACACAAACTATGTAGCACAGTGTAAGTCGCTGTACTTATCGACTTCAACAAAACTGCTTTTTTTTTTGTGTTTTTCTCTATCACATTCAATTCGCACAAATGTATGTAGAATTTTTCTTTCCAAATGCAGAACGTTTCTTGATGTGGCGAAAACTCAGCAATTGCTGACGTTTGATAGAATGTTGGAGCTGCATTATTCGTCATTGCGTGTTCGTTTATTATAAGAGCATGCACTTCTTTGTATATTAATAAGTTTTTATTTCCTCGTCGCCAATTATGTAGTGTATTGACACTATCAGTTCAATAGAAACGCGTTCGTTATAAGCCCCTTTTATTGAATGTTCTTTTTCATCTCCTTTAACTCTACTCTTGTATGTTAGGTGTGACCGTACATTGCTATTAACAAATTACCTAACAGTATAGATTAAGATTTGTTGTAAAAAAATTATTTGCCTATTTTTTAATTTTATTTATATTTTTTATGATGGTTTTTAGGGTAAAAAAATGAAAGTTCGAGTTTGACCGTTAATTACGCCATTCTTTCGTAAAAACATTCTCTTGGCTTGAGCCAAATTGGCCTTTTTCGCGATCGATGGTTTCTCTTACGTAGAAAAATTCTTCTGGCAAATACGAAGAACTGAATACAAATTTAAACCAAATCTGACCAGCCGTTCTCACGTGATGATGCACTATACATTTTTATCTCTTCCCTTATATTTATAAAGATTATATTATCTATCACTTTTACCAAAAATGAAACTTAAATCTTTTGTTTTATCCTTAGAGTTTATTCCATCAATAGAAAAATTATTTGATGAAGACTTGCTTATTGGGAAGGGAGTCACATTGGAGTCAATTCGGCCGTTGGCATATTCTACGTTAGCAGATCTAGCTCATCATGTTCGTCAGAGTTTAAGCTTGGACGTGTTAATAAAAGCAGTAAATCTGTTCTCAAAAAATGTGCATGATGAGACTCTTGCCGTAGGAATACAAACTATGTCTTGTAAACTTTTATTAAATTTAGTAGATTGCTTACGTCATCACAGTGAACTGGAGCCCCAGCGATCCCGACAAATTTTGTCAAAACTATTGAAGGTTTTTGTGAAAAAATTTGAAACAATTGCCAAAATTCAGCTGCCTTTAATCGTTCAAAAATGGTAAGTAACCATCACGAAATATACATATATACATATAGTTTTATGTGTTTTTTGACTGGGACATTGTAAATGCTCCCAGGAATTGAGAAACTCTTTTTGTACCCGTACTCGAAGAGTTAATTTATATATATTTATTTATATCTTTTTATGTAAAAAATCTTAATCATGTTAGTCCAGCTGCGGTCCGGTGCGGGCCAGCGATCGGCTCCGGTGGCCCGCTCGGTGCGGGGGTGGCTGATTGGTGTTGCCGAGCTGCGGCTCCGCGGCAGCGATGGGATCCCGTTCCCCCGCGGGGCGTGTCCGTTGGCAACGGGCCATGGAGATACGTTGAGAGTGCCCCCATCGCTGGCCCAAGGCAACGAATAATCAAGTAATAAATGACGACTGTGTCGATAGAATGAACGACCGCGTTATTGCAAATCAAACAAACAACCCACCCCCGCTCGCGACCACATGCAGAATGGAACACCACCCACCCAATCCCCGGCCAGATGAGGACCCCCACCCAGGCTGGCCCTGAACGAGCGAGATGTTATGTGGGGGGCAGTGTGAAGTTAAGGGGCAACGTCCCCCGGGTACCCCCCCGGCCTGGAGATGTGTCCCACCCAAAGTAACACCCAACCAACCCACCCCCAACCAGATGGGGACCCCGCCCCCACACAATTCCCGTTGCGCCATAGGTGTGGACCCCCGACCCCCGGCCCGGCGGTGGTGTCGATGGCCCAAGAACAAACCCCCGTGTAAGGTCCGCCCCACCCCGCCCCGCCCGGATGGTACCACGCACCAGGTGCGGCCCGGTGGCTCGGGGTCGGCTGGCTGCCCCCGGCGCCGCGGCGCAGGCGTGTCGCCGAGCGAAGTGGTGGCACCCGGCCCCAGATCCCCCGCATCTGCAACTTGCTGAGGACCGGCCCCCGGGAAAAATTAGGCTTACATCACTTTAATCAGGACAACAAGCGGATAACAATATTGGATTGAAAAATAATAGAACCATAAGATAACTATGGGGACCCCGTGAGCGCGAAATAGACAGGCGTTAGATTGAAAGATAGGTATAGTTGACGCAAGGGATGGCACAGTACAACGCTAGTAATGCATAGGTGCGCCAATCACCTGCCAATATGTACCGGCGGTGCAATGTGTCCGTCGGGATCACTCCTTATTGTGACCTATAAACTAACAGGCGGGCCCACACGATCTGCCCACCCCATAGGGTACGCGCCCCCCGGCCCCCAGCAGCCCCCCACCCCACACCAACCCCCCCCCGATATCAAACTAACCCCATTTGGGGAATCGAGGAGTACCGGCCAACCTGGGGAGTGAAACCAGATTTGTAGAATTGTGCGAACCAAATGCCTAACCACCCCCCAAGGACAACCAATCTGCCTGCCCCGTCTCCGTGTACACGGGTTAGCTGTCCAACCCCGTACTTTGGGTATACCCCACTCGAAGCTCTGTTGTCACGGGTTAATCCCAGGTTGCCTTTGTGCCTGTCGATTTTGGCTAATTGCAACTAAATCTGTTGTTGGTATAACTCCACGCCCTCATGACCGACAACGTTTTTGTATTCTACCGGCACCATGATTAGTCGATTGATCGCATTGTCACTACACTCACCAGGTACTTGAACCCCTACCTGCCCGTTGGACTACTATGAGAGGATGCGTAACACATCAACCCGTATTGGCAACAGAGACGTAATTGCTCGAACAAAGGCGGCTCGTTGTCGCAATAGGCGGTAGGTAGAAGTCATCAATTGAGTGGGCACACCCACTAGCCCTGGAAGCTAGGGTCAGGCAATGAAAGCAACAGGTAGAAGATTTTATCAAGAAGATTCGATGTCACCCCACGCGAATTGGTCACTCCACTCTGTTAGGTCATTAACCTTGGTCAACACAGTTAGACACCATGGCGAGCTCGCACTTGGGAAATAGTAGCCCGGAGGATCTGTAACGTTCGCGAGCCCTATGGGCACGATTGTGTTCTGTGTGGTTATTCACTTGTCGCTTGCATCTGTGATGTCGTCACGAAATTTGCAATGCCAAAATTTGGTTGCCGGAAACCAGCACTAGGTCGTGTTGGAGGGAGGCTAAATGGAACCAGTGATTGCATCACGACATTCGGGTTGACCACTCTTTTACTGATTCGATCAGGGAGTCTCGTATTAAAATGGATTATGTGGCGGGTTCCCCCAGTAATGAAGTCCGCCGTAGCGGCTGCTCTCCAGAATTATCTGGCTGAAACAATTAGAGGCTACGGTGGTCCCACGTGTAGGTCAGTGAAAGCCGCTGTGATAGTGGCCGCGTCTGACTGTGGCTCGTCCTGTAAGTTATTAATGTTTTGCGGGACAACGTGCGACGTAGTTTTCCCCTGGTTTAAAAAATACGGTTCCCTAAAAGGCCCACCGTTAATTTTCGCGTTTGTGTTTCAGACCGGCGAAGGTCAGGGCTGGTGATCAGTGAAGATTCGTATCCCTAGACCGTAAAGAATTGGCCAGGCCCAACATGGCATAGTCCCTCTCATTTGTGGCGTAGTTCAGCCGCAATCAAGTGTGCGCGACACCATGTTATTGGTCTGCCATTGGGAACCCGCTCCGATGCCGCGCTGAGGCATCGGTGGTAGTCGAAAGGCAGAAAGTGGGTACGTTAGTACGACATCCTCGAAGCCAGTATGTCGCAGGCGGCCGAAGCGTCGCGTTGCGTTCATCGAACTGAACCGAAACTCTGACAGTGCGCACCGTGCCATTCTCCGAGTATGGCAGTAGGGGTCCATCCCGAAGTCGACAAACCCATAGTAGCTGCAACCCAGAATGACCTGGGCTGAACAGCGTTGGTTCAGCGTATTCCTTATCGCCCCACCCTCTGGGTCTGTCTGGCTCCGCCCCTGGTCACTATGAAGCCTAAGAACAACACCTCTGAAGAACTTGTCTCCGGGCCACCCCATGTAGCTCGCACAGGCACAGTACCGTGTCGATGTGTCTGACATGGTCTTTCGTTCGGAAAAATTATTACGTCGTCTACATAGACATAACATGCCCAATCTGTTCGCGTAGACGTCGTCGATTGCCCTGGAAATGCTTCCGCAAAGTCCGAGGCAAGCGACGTGACCCCGTTATGAAACGAAGTTTCCCGGTCCCGCCATATATATTGGTGGTACCCTGATTTCAGATCTAGGGTGGTAAAAAACCTGCCCCCAAATTGCTAAAATCATGGGTATGCTAGGCATGGGTATGGTCGGCGATAGTTCGCTCGTCAGTTTCCTGAAGTCGATTACCAGCCGCTTCCGGCCGTGGAGTCGGTCCGTCACGACCCAAATCGGACTGTTATCGGTGACCTAGATGGCCTGATTATTCCGCTCAGTAGTTCTGACTCTTGCCGAAGTCTGCCCCCAGGGTGGATACAATTAGAGTAGACTGGTTCATACCCGGTTCGAATGGTGGCGATAACTGAGGTGAAAGGAAGCGCCTCGCTAAGGTCGAGAAAACCAACCCAGTACCATCGGTACCGCATTTGGGACCGTTAGGTCGTCGACTGGTGAAATTTACCTGCGCATCGTGGAACTGAAGCGCCGTTACGCCGATTTGATTGTTGCCGCAGGTAATCCGCTCCCCCGCGTTAGTGAACGGAACCTATAATGGCATCAAACTATAGCGTGCACAAAATGGGGCTTACCCGAAATGCACATTATGCACTTATCACCATGGACCATGTATGAGCTCACTGTGAAGGGGAGTCAGCAGCAGTACGTTCTTTAGCCCTTTATGGGCTCACGTAATGCCGCTCCGGGTCGATTAGAAGTGGCCCCAGCGCTCGACGAACGGCATCGGAGCTGCAAAAAATAACAACGTGCCGGTCGGGTCGTCCGTCGATCTCGGCGACTGCGGCCTCGGCTGATTCGAGTACTCTGTTCCCTGGTTATAGGCCTGCTGCACTATGTTATACCCGTTGGCGTCTCGCCCCGATTGACGCTGGGACGAATCGGCCTGAATGTTATTACTTGAGGCTCCCCAGCTGTGCCCCTAAATTTGGATAATGAGGGTCACCTCCATAGCTGCACATCTGGTCAATAACGGACCCCCGCCAGAGGTTGCCCGCGCCGGCCGCTTAGGAATGAAGTGTGGATTACCCACCCCATGCGCCTGAAATATGGCGGTCCTCGTAAACATAGTTGCCCTACGCGCGTAGGATGCCCGAATGCCCCAATGCTCGGCCCCCGCTCGCAGCGCGGCGGGAGGTCTGGCGGCTGCACCCAGTGATTGAGCGGCCGTTTGACCCCAATAGCGTGGAGCGCGCCCACCCCACGGATGGTTGCCGTGCCCATACGGGACATGACTATTGTTCGTGACGAGCGTGATTCCCTCGACTCGTCATAGTAGCCATAAGGTCGGCGTCCCTCGAACCATCCAGATCGACGTAGTACGCGAGGGACGTTTTGTCCGCGTATGTGCAATCTAGCCTGGCCAGAAGCATCAAAAACCGGTATTGTGGGACGTGAGTAGCCCGCGCGGACCGCAAATTTTGTCAACTGGCCACGCCCGAGTGTGCCTGGCACCTACATAAATAAAGACCGTATGCATCCGGCAGATTGCCCCACGACACTATCCTCATGGTTTCCGCTAAAGGTCGGCACCGATTTCCAATGTCAACTAACCGCCTATGTAGGGTCGATGGTCACCTAAAGGTCACTGAGGGGTTCAAGTAGGGCATTCACTGATCCCATCTTTGGATTCACTGCTGAAATCCTGTGTTAAACGCCGTTCTGCGGCGAGGCGTGGCGATCGCGCCGTCCTAGCTTATCATTCCTGCATCCATTCTGACCGATTTTGTTTCGGCTGTGGGGGGCGATACCCATCAACCGCACTATCGGACTGACTGCCCATAACCCAATTCATGGGCAAACTGAGAAAAAACAAACCACACACAAGAACAAATGAACAAACTCGGGCGATCATTATTAACCACACAGATGCACCATTCGGCAAAACAAAAACTATTGTATTGCGT